CCACAAAACCCCTAAAAACCTGCATCGTCAAATTTTAATGTGTAAATCGGTGTTCTTATATTTATAAAGACAGACTATATAATAGAAACCAAGTCTGGTGGTATGAATTCATTGTTCACCAGTACTTTCTTAAGGGATGTGGCAGTAATAAAAAATTTTGTATGGGGGGGGGTGGAGAAGAACAGAGATAGGTAGGGCTACGCTATCAAAAGACAAAAAAAGCCAGTGGGTGTCACCTTAATTGCTCTGTTAGCTCACACTACTAAATTAGCAATGACCCAAACGTTTTACTATCCTGATTAAATACGGTGATTGCTATCAATATGCCATCTTCCATTTAATTATCTGATCAAAACTGGAATGGACATAAATGATCATCTGGTTCCCATACTTCAAGATGAAGAAACTGAGGTCTAAAGAAGCCGAAATAATCCAGTTTACTAATGGCAGAATCATAATGAAAGTATGCCTGCCCGATTCTTGTTAATTACGTAGGTAATTGTTAGAACATTACGCATGATTAGACCTCTTCTTCTCAAATAAGTTGTTTGGTACCATATGCCCAAAGAACACACCTTGCTCTGTAGCTCGTTCTGTAAACTCCATCGTAATCGCACCGGGAATAACTTTCAAAGACGGTTGTATTTGGTGAACCATGGAAAATCAACATTTTTGTAGGTCAAAAATGGCAGACTCTTGGCGATTTTAAAGGGTTCTACCAAATGGCTAGTAGACTTTTCCCTTTATAAGTTTCCTCTTATTAAGCCAGGAATCCAGATCAAGTGATTGCTCTCTGATGGTAGGGCTGGCCATTATGGTGATGACAATTACAACTTCACTTTGGCCACTCGTTTACGGATTATATGATAACAGCAGCAGTGCTGAGATGGGAGCCCTTAAAACTACCGTGGTACCACGATCTCCCACTGTCTTAATCCTTGAATCACAGTCCTGGTGGCCATTTTGATAAAGTCACATGTTATAGTGCTGCTCGTGGAAATTGGTGAAGCACAAAATTATTTTTCTAAATTAAGGTGTCTTATCACATTTTTCTTCTTACAGACAGGTGTCCGAATCTAACGATATTTCACCTTACTCCTCTCCGTGGTCTAGTAAATCTGTCCTGTAAAGGCGTTAGGGGTTATGGTATTATCTGCGTAGAATGCTTGGCAGTTTGGCATTCATTGCTACCCTTTAATTATTTAGTACTTCAGGGTTTATGTAGTGCTCTCAGAAAAAGTTTTTCACCAACTTGGAAGTTTAAAATTATGCACTTCAGACCATGTTTGTGAGTTCGAGCATCACATCGGGCTCTGTGCTGACAGTGTTGAGCCTGCTTGGGATTCTCTCTCTCTCTCTCTCTCTCTCTCTCTCTCTCTCTCTCTGCCTCTCCCCAACTTGCGCATGCTCTTCCTCTCTCTCAAAATAAATGAATAAACTTAAAAAAAATGACACATGTGTATCTGTTTTCTGTTCATGCCCTCTCTAGCCATAGTGACACAGACCCCTTTACTGTTAGTTAGCATGCCAGTCAAAATCCTGCAAGAATCCAGCACTTAATATTCCCTTATGATCAGACAAATTCTCCACCTGTGGTGGTGAGCAGTGAAACTTCTAGCACCGTGCCATCTTGGAAGTCATTTCCACAGAGATGACTCACTCAAGATGAGGGGCTGATAGACCTGTCTGAGCTGTAATACTAGACAGTTTCTGATGTGGGCACTGAACAAATTCATCATCCCCTGATGATGTCTCTAATGCTACCACCTTCCCAAGCCACGGAAGCAAAGAACAAATATCAAATACCTTGAAGTCGTTGTATATTTACAAGTAAATAATTTTATTGTGAAACAGCTACTTTGCACTGATGAATTTTTAAGTGATGTTTGTATGGGTGTTACAGAAAAATAAATGACCATCATGTAAGATGGTGGCTGAGTTTATTGGGAGGAGAGAGGAGAGGAACTTTGAAGTCAGAATTAAAAGTGTCTACACAGACGGGGCGCCTGGGTGGCTCTGTCGGTTAAGTGTCCCACTTCGTCTCACGCCACGATCTCATGGTTCGTGAATTTGAGCCCCACATCGGGCTCTGTGCTGACAGCTTGGAGCCTGGAGCCTGCTTCGGAATCTGTGTCTCCCTCTCTCTCTGCCCCTCCCCCCACGCATTCTCTGTCTCTCTCTCTCTCTCTCTCTCTCTCAAAAATAAATGTTAAAAAAATTTTTTTAAAGTGTCTCTGCAGATGAAAAAGGAATATAGTCTGTGATATCGTAATAACGTTGTATGGTATCAGATGGCGACCACACTTACTATTGTAAGCATTTCACATAGTTGTCGAACCATTATGTTGTATACCTGAAACAAGTATAAAACACTGTGTGTCGACTACACTTGAGTCGTTTTTTAAAAGTGTCTACATAGGGGCGCCTGGGTGGTGCAGTCGGTTAAGCGTCCGACTTCAGCCAGGTCACGATCTCACGGTCCGAGAGTTCGAGCCCCGCGTCGGGCTCTGGGCTGATGGCTCAGAGCCTGGAGCCTGTTTCCGATTCTGTGTCTCCCTCTCTCTCTGCCCCTCGCCCGTTCATGCTCTGTCTCTCTCTGTCCCAAAAATAAATAAACGTTGAAAAAAAAATTAAAAAAAAAAATAAAAGTGTCTACACAGAAAGCTAAGAATAACTTCTGCTTAAGCAAGTGAGTTTTGATTTTACCCCTGCGGGTTCCCACCCTGTTCGTGCTCTTCTTTCCCCGTGGGTTGTCCTTGTGGTTCCTACAGTGTTTCTGTATTTATTTCCCTGAACGAGGCGTTTCACAGTCATCGGTTCGAACGAGAGAGGCGATTTCTACTTACTGCTGTTAAAAATAAAAGCACGCAGGTACTTAGAAATTACGGAGTTGCTTTCCTTCGACACAAACGTTGTCATTTGGAGACATAAATCCAAACGTTGAAGCTGTAACCTTTTGCTCTGTGGGGGCTAAGCTAATAAGTACTGAAATTAACCTTTCATTTACAGATAACTTCTCAACCTACAGAAAAAAAAAATCTGTGTTTCTTAAGGCGTTACTCTCGAATTATGTTATCAGTCCATTTGGTCTTATCAGTACCAAAAAGGAGTAATCTCTTTCTATCAGAGAGGGAATCCAAGTAGTTAGGGACGACAACAGAGGGTCAAAACAAAGGGTGGGTACTTTGGACTCAAAAAGGTCCCCTTTGATATCTGGCTCCGCTTGTCTTGCCTTCTTTCATTCAGCCTTTGTCTCTCGCCTGTGGGATGGAGATTATAATAGTTTGGGGGACAGGGACAGTATTTGGCACAGTGCCTGGCCCGGCCGTGAGCCATTATCTGGGGAGGAAGGGGATTACTATAGCAAAGCCTTATTTTGCATGCCAGAATTTACAGCGTGGGTCAGTATTGCCTTTCTAAGAGGTTTTACTTAGAAGCTTTATAAATATTCTGTCTTTCCTGAAACCTTTTTTGGAGTCGCCTTCAAAGCTATCTCAAAGCTTTCGAGAAGGGTTAGTCTCATCAATTTCTAGTCATACCTGATTTCTGACACAAAACCGTGTCCCCCTCGACGGCCCGACTTGCCTCTGGACGGCCTGCGGCCGACCCCCATTCACTCACTCTCCACGGGTGAGGATTCAGCATCCGTGTGGATGTTCAAAGAAATGTGTTCCATTGCACGCAAGGTCGGTTCCGAAAGAGGTGCTTCAGAACCGCTTTACACGGCAGCAGTGAAACTGGCTTCCGTACGTATTCTCCCCACGTACCCGTCTCCCTGAAAGCCGGTCTGTCTTTCTGGCCTGTGTTGAGAAATCCGACTGCCTCATCGCCCTGCTTCAGAAGAAAGGGTGAGTGCTGGCCCTGAATCCTTCAAGCTTCATCTCCTTCCGAGCGAGAGGGACCAGTGTCCGAGACTTCAGAGGAGACGCGAAGGCTGATTACGATGGCTGCGAATTAGTCGTAGGGCTCGGCGTAGAACTAGCTCTTCCAAGGAGAAACTTTCCTGCACGTTATCCCACAATTCCTGGCAAGATGCTTTGAGGATGCGTTCGAAAAACACGCACTAGATCCTAACATTTGTAATGAGGAGGATACAGCCGCAAGGGAATAGATACTTTGGAGGCAAGGGCATCCAAGCTGACAGCGGTTCACCCAGCTTGGAGGTGACAGGCAGGTTTGCTGTGTGTGTGGCAATCCCTGCACCCCCCCCCACCCCCACCCCCTGCACGGATCCGTTTCCTATCGGGTGGGGTGTGGGCTGCAAAGCAGAAAGTGTCTCAGGGCAGGAAGCATATATGAAACACGCAACTGTTTGCACCTTGGAAATGACTATTTAGATGTATCTTCTTTAGGTTCTAAATTGCCTTTTGGCATCCAACCCCACTTAGCAGAGAGGACATTTCGAACCCGATCTTGTCAAACCACTTTTTGTCCTAGGAGAAAACCTATGCTACGCACAGTTTTACGTGAGAAGATTTCCCAGGCTAAAAATTATTTTTTTAATTGACACATTGAGACCCCCCTGTAGAAGAAAAAGTGGTAATTTCGGGGAGGGGTTATTTTATATTTAAATCTGTAATATTTGCTGCATCTTTTTAAATGGCAAGCGATCTTGAGGAAGGGCAATGAATTATTCAAAGTTCTCTCCAGATTTCAGTTGTCCTCACTTCTCTTATGCCCGTCGATGGCTGTTTGGGTATCAGATAGAGCTGTTTGCTTAGAGTAATATCTGAAATGTTCACCTTCCTTGAGTGAGAGGGCACTTCTCTCTTGAAAGAAGCCTGAGTTTATTTTTAACATTTCCAAAAGTATTCCGTGATTCAGTCCCATTTACTCCTCTTTGATCTTGCTTTCTTTTAAATAACGCTAGTGTGTGGGATCCGAATGGGGGTAATTTCAAAATGAGTTTTACGTGCACACATGCAGACACAGCCTCTGATTATGCAAATTCATTTAAAAGGATTTTCATTTACAGTAATGGAAAAGCTTTTACTGTTTTGGGAAAGCTTTCGCTTTGGGGGAGTTTTAGGCGTCTAATAACCTATGAATTCGATCAAATGTTTTTGGTAACTGAAGATCAGTTATACTCTTAAATTTTTGATCTTTGTTTTGGGAGAATTTAGTTGGAAGTGTTTTTCTCTTTTGCTTCTTTACATTGTGTGTTGATAGAGGCTTCAGCTTCTCTGTTGTGCTAACTGCTGATAACATGTTTTTATTTTTTTCTCCTTGGGCTTTCCTTAGCTTGGCCACTGTGTAAGTACTTCATCAATCAATAAATTAGGGTCGGGTGATATATTTGATTGTTTTGAACTATTGGAAAATGTTTTAGGGGTGTATGCTGCAAATATTATCAGTCAAGTTCCAGAAGTAAACAGAATTGAGCACTTAAGTGTCACCTATATTTTCCAGACCCGTAAATGGAATATTTTTACCATACTTTATAATAATAACCAGCAGAGATTTTCTTGTAGAAATTTTACTTCTCAACAGAGACGTGACTAACAGCAAATAATAAAACTGTGCAGACTTAGGCACTTATGTTTATCTTCTCAAAAGCATAATTTTTTTCATTCTCTGAAAATCAAATTATGTTTCTTTGAAGTGTTTGCCTGAAGTACTTTTTTGCTTTAACTTTGACGCAGTCTGAATATACATTCACTTCTTCGAGCATGAACACGCTGTGATCTGGAGCGGTGCTTCTCAAAACTCGTCGTGGTGAAGAGCTTGCTGGTGGTGGTTGTTTTTAAGTTTCCGTGCTATCAGAAACCGATACTTTTGCAACAATGTCGTAAACTCAGAAGCCGATACTTTTGCAACAATGTCGTAAAAATTTAATGTCGAAAAGAGATACGTGAAAAGACAAAAAAATACAAGCCCTCAAGTTTTACCAGTTGATGCAACAGGCCTAAAATTCTTATTACTAAGGTTCCTAAAATATTTGTTGTCAGTTTCTGCCCGCACTTTGCCTAAGACCAGTAGCAAGAACTTTGCAGACTGCCACCGGTCCGGGGACCACACTTTGAGTCGTAGCAGGCTGCTGGGGTCAGCGTAGAGCTGATGTGCTAAAGATGGGCTCGGGGCAGTTGGGTAAGCTCGAGAGCGCTCGAGAGCACCTAGGAATGCAGCCGGGGGTAGTGAAATGGGCCTGCTGACCCTTGGCAGTTGCTCTACGCTCTGGGTTCTAAGGCCCTCAGCTGTGGACTTGGTTGGTCTTGGTTTCCCCGGAGTGTATAGACCAGCCTCCTGGGGAGGTCTGCCTGTCTGTGACGCTCCCCTTTGCAGTTCACGTCAGGCCCCCCAGAGTAATCTGCTGTCACTGTAGAAGGTAGGGAAGGCTGAATTTAAACACCTCGACCGGAATACTTGTGAATGAAGAGGCGATCCCCAAAGTCCGTGCAAAGCTCTGTTTGACACCCAAGTAGCCGGGAAAATCAGCAGGGGTTGTTTCCGGGTACCATAAGACTCCTACATCTAAAGTAGTGAAGAAAGGATTCTTTCAATTCTTACCTCAACACCTGAACGAGTACCATTTTTGCATTATGGTATAGAAGTTTAGATAAATTTTAATTTTCTTACATCAAGAGAGAAACCACCCTGTTCCCTGGGTATATAGTAGGTTCCCAGTAAAGGATAGCTTCTTTCCCTTATTAAATTAGTAAGTTTGCCGAGCAGAGGGGCCACAGCTCGGGAAATCTGCATCCTTTACAAGGTAGTAGGAACTCAAATAGTTGCTAAATGGAACACAAAAGATACTCTGACCTCTAGAAACAGGCTTTTGGTTTTGTCGAAAAGATGCAAATTGAGTTTTATAGGTTGCCTTTCTCTTTAAAATAAATTAGGTAATGATAGGAAAGGAAATTAGTGTTGCTGTAAGCCAACCATAGTAATATTTTAAATTAATCTAACATGTTTTTCTTCTATGGCTCAAAGAGTTTATGAAAATCGTTTTGTAATCCCCGTCAGCTGTTTACTTTGCGGTAGACCTCACACCCTTTGTGTTGGGTGACCAGGGACGGGTCCTTCCTGAAGTAGTTGACAGTCAACAAGAGGTGTTCTTCATTGTCTCCTTTGGTGGTTTTGCTGCTGCTTGGTGGAGTTATACCCTGAAATCTGGAACAATCAGACAAAACCATAACTGTTTCTCAGGTACAAGAAGGATCAGTTAGGTTTCCAAATGTCAGAAATGAAGAAAATTCCTGTGGGTTGACAGAGAGTACGGTCTCCATCTTTCTCTTTCTTTTTCTAGTGATTTCCAGATTTATGTCATGGGAAACCTTAGCAATGATCAGCGATTGGCTCTTTACCCATTGATGATAGCTATTCTGGAGTTGAGAAGCTTTTACTTTTTCTTTGGCACTAAGTTTGAGACCATATCTCCATTCATTCATTCATTCATTCATTCATTCATTTATTTTGGGGGTTACGCCTCGAGTTGGTGACTACTTGACCTTGTGTTTGGTTTGTGTTTCTCCAGCTGAGGTCCGCAGGTGCACAAGTGCTAGAAGGCTGCATCGCCGAAATCCACAATATCACCAGCTTAGACATCTCCGATAATGGTAAGCTGGAAACCAGAAAAGACGTGGAAATATTGTTTGAAGTTAGTAAAGGGAAAAGAGAAAGCCCAACCTAGACAACGCCTTGACAAACGTGTTATTTTACTTCTTGACTAATTAATAGGGCTTTTAAATCTAACAAAATTTACTATGGAAGAAATATGTGCCAAAGTCTTCGTAAGTTGATACCACGGTCAAGAATGCCAGGCATGTAATAAAACAATTAAAAAGAAATTGTCCTCAGAACATTGATAATGATCTTGATCCAACCTTTTGCATTCACGGTGATAATAAAATTGAGTCCTTGTTTATTTACTCAGGAACTTGTTTATTTAGCTTCATTTCTGCCAATTATAGTAGCGTGTGAGTTTGAACCTGTTAAATTTGCATAGACGGCGGTAGTTAACCTCCCAGCGAACAGGATGTTGGGTCTTCTTTTAGAAAATCATGGGCAGACAGGAGACTTCCGCTTTCCCATTCCTTGCTGCCTTGACTTAGCCACTGACTGTGTAAGAGATTTAGGTAAGTCTTAGCAGAGAGCGAGTTGATCCCTGTGAAATAATAGGACACGGAAAGGGAGCAGAACGTTCCTTTGAAAATAAAAAACTAGAATCCCGGGGCCCTCGGGACGGTAGAGAAAGTCACCCAAGTGACCCAAAGTCACCTTTGCTCAATTGTGTTCCAGCTGAGAATTTATTTATACACACGTGTTTTGATTCTCTGTTTACTCTCATTCTTTCCAGGTTTGGAATCTGACCTCTCCACCTTAATAGTGTGGCTCAGTAAAAACAGATCAATACAGCACCTGGCGTTAGGCAAAAATTTTAATAATATGAAATCCAAGTAAGAACTTTGATTTTTTTTTTTATATGACAATGATGAAAACAATCAGCCTCCTGAAAGCTTATTTGATTCCACTGTCCATATCTTTAAACTCTTTAGAAATCTGACACCTGTGTTGGACAACTTAGTACAGATGATTCAAGACGAAGAATCGGTGAGTAGTATTTTTAAGACCTTCTGCCGAAAATCTTTTGTTTGTTACCACGCTTCCTAATTATGTCGACGGGGTTAACGCTGCTATACTTTCAGGTGATTTTATCTCTATGCACAGTTTCTGTTTTTTAATGAAGTAAATACATATGCTTTAGTATAGTTAGAGAATGTACTTAGAATCGCTTACTCTTCACTTGACCTCATTACTAATTAAAGGACGATTGTAACTAAAAGATTAAAGGAAGTATGCATTGACTCCTAAGCCTATCTTTTAATAAGACTTACTCATTCCTCACTTTGGTTAATGCACTAACCTGCGAGCATGAATTTCTTCAATCTAGTGGACTCTATGACCTTATATCATGCTGGGAAACATCGTACTGCTAATTTGAATTTTGTCTAGTAATTATGTAGAGTTCAAGAGACTAAGAAAGTTGTTGCCCGTCTTAAATTGCTTCGAGAGCTCTAGTGGTCCTTCTTATCTTTTTATTCCCTTTGGCTGTTCCTGGCCAAGACTTGGTTCGGAGGAAAGAAATGTAATTTTAATTTTCTAGTGTTTTATTTTATTTTTGAGAGAGAGAGACAGAGCACGAGTGGGGGAGGGGCAGAGAGAGAGGGAGACCCAGAATCTGAAGCAGGCTCCAGGCTGTGAGCAAGCTGTCAGCACAGAGCCCGATGCGGGGCTCAAACCCACGAACTGTGAGATCGTGACCTGAACTAAAGTCGGACACTTAAATGACTGAGCCATCCAGGTGCCCAAGAAATTTAATTTTAAATAGCATCCTATTTTGCTGCCTTTTAAAATGTATTAGAAAAAAGAAAAAAAAAGATATTATATGGACAAAGCAAAAAACACTCTACTATGAATTCCTTTAACTTAAACCGGTGTGTCTTAAGTTTTGTACCTTATATTTTACTGATGCTCTTTAAGATTTGGTCCATGTCTTATTTTAGTCCTATTTGGCCACCAGCCAGCTTTTCATGGTTCCTAAAATCCAAATCGATTTGTATTCCTACAGTGAAGACTCACATTATTCATGTTTTGTGATACTTACTTTGTAGGTCGTAAGAGTGATTTCCTATGTGAATCATGTGAGATATGACACATTTTTAAAAAGTGTCATTTTCCCTTTTGAATGCATACAGGGTAGTAGCAAATTCTTTTACGACTGGATGCTGACTTTGTGAGAAAAAGCTGAGGGGGCAGGAGAAATGAAGCCTGGAACTTTTCTACCTCTCTGCCTGGCTCTAAGCTGGAGGGTGGGAGAAAATTCTGTGGTCCTGCCCCTTTATTGTGTGGATATGATTTCCAATCTAAGGGCTGGAAATGAAACTCATTATTATTTAACGATTTTGAGCACTTTTCTTTGTCCTCATTTGCTAATAGACTCCATATTGTGTCACTTTTATACAGGGCTATTAAAATTAGGGGCATAAATCAGAATTTATGCAGTTAGTTTCGCATGGTTCCCTTTGACTTTCTACCACCCTGCTTTTAGTTTCTGATTTCCTAGTATTGGCCCAGTTTTAAAAGATTGAGGAAGCTAATTCTGCAGAATCACATTTAATATTCACCCCAAATACTTGTTTCTTAGCACGTTTTAGGAAAATTTCTATTTTTTGAAAAACATGTCTTAAAATTTCGTGTTTTTGCTTATCACATGAGGCTCTTTCGTTTCTGTTATTTCCGAAGTCTCTCCCTTAAAAACAATCTTGATATTTAAAACACCCCTCAGAACATGTTTGCCAGCGGTAAAGTTTGCCATGTCGGTGTGGATCCCGTCAGGTTACGAGTCTGAGAAGTGGGCCGCTAATAATATACAGTGGAAAGCTCCTTATGTTGGTGTCATTGAAGCGTGGGTGGCTTTTTCAAAAGGCAACCACCTTCTGTTTTTTTTCTCCTGAATCGGTAATGTGCACAGTTCAGAACGATTAGGAGCTGAGTCTTAGGACTCTAAAACTTCCGATGCCTGACGCAACCGGGCTTTTTATTTTAGTTTTTAAGATAATTGTGCAGTTATCTCTTGCTTCCTACGTTGTGACCTTGGGCTCCTACAGCCTGTTCTCCGACAGCCCAGGGAACACTCTGTTCACCCTGTGTTGCGTGTTACGTTTGGCTGGAAAACCTAGACGCCCGTGGGCTCCAGTGTCGCCTCGGCTAGAGACAGTGGGTGTCAGGCGACTGAGCCCAGAGCCCCGGGACAGTAACGCTCAGGGGCCCCGACGACAGGGGAGCTTGTTTTGAAGTATTCCACGCCAACTCGTGCCGTAACCGGCCGAAGCGAACGGGCTTCCCCTGGGAGTGCGGGCTGCGAGGAGACAGATTCTCAGATTAAGCGTGTTCGGCTATGAAAAGAAACAAGAAAATAGTCACGTTACACGCAAGTGCAATAGATCAGGTAAGGGATGACCTTATAAATACGCACGCAATTCAGGCTGTTCTGTTCGTATTAATGACTCTGCCCATTATTTTTAAGTGCTACCTGGGGTGTATTAGAGTTTGAATATAGTCCTGGAATTGGTGCTTGCTAGCTCGAAGACTTGGCAACTTTCCAGTATTAGGAAGAAGCTGCAATATATCATTTTTGTGGTAGTCGCATAGAGACCATTGAAATGATGAGAGATGCGATTACAGCTTTTTATTAAAGGAACACTGCATTTGTTTTCACTTAAAACATTAAGTTTCCCGAGTCTGAAGCATTTTGGTTCAGTTTTTTCCATTTCTTTGAGTGTAAGATCTCAGGAAAACCAAAACAACCTCGCGAAACCTGCCTGAGTCTAACACATGCAGGCTTTCAGATTTTAATTGCCTTAGCACTTACCATGCCATTAACTTTAAAAAATTGGATTCAAGTTAAAAAAAAATACATCAAATTACTACATTACCTTTTGATTTTACCATGGCTCTAGTAAGTTTAGAAAACGTCAAATTTGGACAATGAGGACAATAACTACGGTCACTTGGTAAACTGGAGTCAAACGCATAATGCCACTCTGTGGATGTCTGAGTCTCGAAACCATCGGCACCGTCGCCCCGCTTCCTGCAGCCTTGAGACAGATGCACCGTGAACATGTCAGTGGCCAGTGGTTGAGTGGCCACGCTGTGTGTGCGGGTCACACGGACCACCGGGCACATCTTGAGAACGCCGCTCACATGGGCCACGGTGGAACGTGGGTGACCCTGGAAGTTGTTCCCGGTATCCCACCTTCCTGAAATGTCAGACTTAATGGAGTAAGCTCCTAGAACTGTTTAGTACGGCTGGGCCTGGGTAGACTGCCTTAAGCAACCCAGAAGACATCCACGTCCCCCAGGGAAGTCTGAGATCTGGCTCTCAGGGCCACATTGGTTCAAGCTCTGGAATTTCCACCACTTTATTATTTCAGTCATGGCTGAATTCAGGGCTTGCAAATTCAGATGCCTACGCGGCTAGGGAGGTACCGTAAACAAGAAAAGGGAACTCGGCAGGGAGCCCTCTTCATTGGTTTGGCCTGTCTCTGGACCACGTGGCTTTCAGTCTTCAGCTTAAATGGGCATTGAGTGGGCTAGTTTGGATTCATCATACAGCTTATGCTGATAAAAACTTACAGATGTTTGACTTTTTCTCTGTTTTAAAAAACTTCTGTGTCTTCTGACTGGTACTCATAAAGCTAAGGATGATCATTGAAAAGATTGAGGATAAGCCACAAGGGGCAACATTGTGTAGGAGCTCAGAGCACAAGTGTGGAACCAGACTTTCTGGTTCTGTTCAGCTTTTTTTTTTTTTTTTAATGTTTATTTTTGAGAGAGCACCAGTGGGAGAGGGGAGAGAGAGGGGGAGACACAGAATCTGAAGCAGGCTGCGGGCTCCGAGCCATCGGCACAGAGCCCGACGCGGGGCTCGAACTCACGAACCGCGAGATCACGACCTGAGCAGAAGTTGATTGAGCCACCCAGCCCTCGTCCAGCTACTTTCTAATGGTGCGGCCTCGGTTGGCTCATTTAACCTTTCTGTGTCTCTTTTGGGAAATGGGGATAACAGTACGGAATATCGAACCCGAAAGTGCTGGGTTGCTGGGAGGATCCTGGGACAGTAGTTAAGGATAGTGCACGTTCGGTAAATGTCAGCTATTAATAATCTTGGCTGGTTTTTATTTTGCATTTGTTCTCTGCTAGCATTTTAAGATGTCATTTCACCTTGCATAAAAATAAAATGGGTAAAAAGGGATAATGTAGCCGTACAGAAGCTCAGAACTCTTCTCGTACTATTTTTATTTGCTTCGTCCCATCCCGCACTTCAAAAGAGCTGGCCACTCTGGGTATCTCCGCACGCTTCCCTTAGGAGAGCGGTGGCCACTGTCCAGCCCTGAAACACGAGCCCTCCACGTTTGACTGCAAAGGTCCATTTTATCTCGAACCATCGGGGGCCCATCCGTCAGTGTCTTGTAGCCAGAAGTTTCAACGGGAGACACTTGGAGTGTGCGTGTTGGGCACCTTCCCCGGGGGCTCTCCGTGAAAGGGGTCACTGAGCGCGGTGGCTGCCTCGATGAGACCGCGTGAGCCCCGCCTGTTGTTCCCTCGCAGCCTCTGCAGTCCCTGTCCCTGGCCGACTCGAAACTCAAGACCGAGGTCACCATCATCATCAATGCCCTGGGAAGCAACACCTCTCTGACCAAGGTGGACATCAGCGGGAACGGAATGGGGGACATGGGAGCAAAGATGCTGGCCAAGGCGCTGCAGATCAACACCAAGCTCAGGTACGCGGGTCTGGTACCTGGCCCCGGGTACGGAGGCTTGCCCTCTGGAGGGCCCTAGAAGGCCCTGGAGAAGATTCTGGCCCTCAAGCATTGGAGAGCTGACTGTGTCCCAGTGGGGGCTGAGTTTCCCATCGGGCCAACTGGGAAGGAGGAGTAATGATGTCAAGTCTTTTTGTCCTAGTGTAGAGGGAGGAGGAGTGTCCCCACTTTAGACACGGTGAGTCCCACAAACTGTCGTCTCAAAGATTTCCACCGTGACCTGAAACCTGACCTGAAGAGAAATGGTACTGTGTTCTCTTTCGCGTCGGGGTAGACTGCTGTGTGCGCACGGCGGAGCGGTACGGGAGGGCTTTGCAGCCGGTGCCAGTGAGCAGAGCTAGAGAGACCGAAGGAACCGCATGAGGGGCTTCCCTGTACTTGGCTGTGAGCCCAACACACTGCCTCCCCCTGCCCACCGCTGCCCATATAGAGGCTTAAAAGCCAAGGGATGCAGGAGGTTTGTCGGTTCAAAGGCAAGTTCATGATGGGTGCTAACGATTCTGTTTAGTGGTTTTCCTCCACTTGGAGTGTTTCCCAAGTGTGGCTCTTCTTAAGGACTGGCTGCGTGGTAACCACTTTATTAAGGACCATGGTGCCATCTGTCCTGCGGAGAGATCCAACTGCTACCTAACCCGGCAGTCTGGTTAAGGAAGAGTTCATTCGCAGTGTGCTTCAGGGGCTCTTTCTTGATGTTTCTGGATGGTTCCCTTGCTCTCCTGAATCTTCTGTCTGCACTGAAGGCAGAAGCCAAATACTGCAGCACTTTCTCTGAAGGTCAGGGTGTGTGTAAAGAAGGCCACTGGGGATCAGGAAGGGAAGCAGTTAGAGGTGTGATTCTTGGATCAGACGACTAAACGCTGTTTCACGTGTCAGGGGAATTGACAGACACCAAAATACCTCTGAAGTATTCATATCCTGGAAATAAAATGGCACTTCTCTTCCAAAATAGATTTTGTGTCTGAAAAGTAAACAACCTCCTATTTGTAGAAACGGAGGCTTTACCAGCAGCATGAGCCCGGTGCTTGGGACGTCAGGGTCATGATGAAAACATAAGACGGGATTCCTGCTAGTCGTTTAGAACGGAAAAAAGTCTCAGTACCTGAAATTCTTTGTTTTGGACGAGAGACTCCTTAACATCTTTTATAAGCAGCTCCAGATGTGAATACTAGAATATTACTACTTGCAGAATATGGGGAGAGTGTCCTAGAAATCAGGTTCTGTAGAGTTTTCTGGTTACAAAGCGTCAGGCAACCTAATGGTACGTTAACGAGTATGCTGTTGCTTTCAAGCATGGTTTTTTCTCATGCTACGTGAGCAGCAAATGAGTTAAGAACGTAATGCGTAATGTTGGAAGAAATGCTCCTCCGTGCTCTGCTTACAACTAAGTTGAATGTTATTCCTTGCTTATTGTGCTAAGATATCGAGATAGTGTTGTTTTTAAGTATTCATCTTCACTGCAGAATTATTTCCTCCGTGCCTAAATGTCCGGTCATTTCTGGGATTTGGTTTTCAAACAGGACCGTGATATGGGACAAGAACAACATCACCGCACAAGGCTTTCAGGATATAGCTGTTGCCATGGAAAAGTAAGTGTTAATCAGGCCTTCTTTCTGGAAAAACACAAAGGAACCAGTGGTGTTTGTTTGTTTGCTTTTGCCGTGGTGTGATAAAAGTAACACTGGACTGGGAATGGGAAGATCCAGGTCTGAGTTAGCCAAATTCCTAACCAGCCACGAGAGCTGGGAAAACGTGGACTTTCTTCCGGTGCACATTTCTTCATGTGTTTAATGAGGCCAGAGACGCACCATCGTGAGGATTAAACGATTTCACGGTGGAGGGGCCACAGGACAGTCAGCTTGTGTTCTTTTGTGGTTTCATGTTCTATTTCCATCGGGGTTTGCTTTTTTTTTTTTTTTTTTTTTTTTTTTTTTTTTTTTTTGCCCATTATGACAACTCTGAATCCAGTGAAGAGAAAAAAAGCTAAGGTCCAGAAAATAAAAATGAAATTGGGGTGGGGCACCTGGATGTCTCAGTTGGTTGAGCATCTGGCTCAGGTCATTATCTCATGGTTCATGAGTTCGAGCCCCACGTCGGGCTCTGTGCGGACAGCTCAGAGCCTGGAGCCTGCTTCGGATTCTGTGTCTCCCCTCTTTCTACCCCTCCTCCACTTTCGCTCTGTTTCTCTGTCTCTGTTTTATTTGAAAAGAAATAAACGTTAAAAAAATTTAATAAAAAAAATTTTTTTTTAAATGAAATTGAGGAACGGCAGGCTCATTTGTCTCATTACTGTAAAAGGCTTTATCACTGTAGTAACTAAAGTCTGCAATTATTATTAATTGTCAAGTTTGCTTTCCCGGTAAATGAAATGAGGCAATAATACAAAGATGGCTGGAAGAAATTCTAGAAATCTGGTTCTTCCCAAGCTCTTCAGCCCTCATATTATATTCTGAAAGCAGACATGATCAAAGCAGATTTACAGCATTAAAAATGAGAGGTGACAAAACGCGGGTGTGGACATAAGGAGCTAGTACCAGAGAAGCCAGTCCCCTGGGGAAGAGGCGGGGGTCCGCATTATTCGTGTTTTTTCCCCCTGATTTCCCTTCATGCAGGAGGCCTCCTAGGTGGGGCTCTCATGGCCAGCATGGTGTCATGGATAAAACCCTGGGCCTGGGGTGAAGAGCCATCCAGTCAGTCGATGGCTCTGTCATCAACGAGCCAGTCCTGAGCAGAGCATTGCACCTTTCTGATTGATTCTTCTGTGGAAAGTGGGAAAGGCAGAGTCAGTTAGCCCTGCGTGCCTTCCAGTTCTAGATCCCAGGGTCTAGATCCGATTTCGCCCGGAGGTCAGAATTGCCGCCCCCACAGCGTCCCTAAATCCGGACAAGACAGCTTGTCCCACGGCTCGCGGGAGCCCTCCGGGACTGCAGAACCACCTACAATTACTCCTGTTGCACCGCAAAACCTTCACATGGAAACGTGTATTTACAAATAGCCGCATTTGGGTGCTAACAGCATGGTTGCGGCCCGCGGTAGACTGCCAGCCCACGCTGGTGTTTGTGAGAGGCCAGAAGCACGCACGCCCAGCACCCAGCGTCTCCAGATGATGCAAGGGCTCCCTGGATCACAGTCCCGTACGTCCGCTGTGGTCCAGGATGCGAGTGCCTCAATATCACATTTGGTCTAAATAAAGTACCCGGGCTCTGGAGCATAGTCGCGGCTGGATGAGGGAAAGGAAAATCTTCAAGGCTGCAAAAAAGATGCATTGTCTCTTCATTTCATTTGGCTAGCTCCTCTTAAACAAAAAACAGTCTTGTTAAAACAAAGTTAAGGTAAAAATTGAAGTAATAGAAATAACAGCCTGGTTTTTTTTAATAATTTCTTTTTTTTTTTAGTTTATTTATTTATTTTGAGAGAGACAGAGACCAGGGGAGGCAGAGAGAGAGAGAGAGAGAGAGAGAGAGAGAGAGAGAGAATCCCAAGCAGGCTCCACACTGCCAGCACAGAGCCCAACATGGGGCTTGATCTCACAAAGCGTGAGATCATGACCGGAGCCGAAATCAAGAGTCGGACGCTTATCCGACCTGGGGGCCACCCAGGCACCCCAGTAACAGCCTTTTTCTTTGCTGGTTCTTTTACGTTAAGCCATCCTAAGTTGGACTGAAGCACATCTTTTCGATCAGATAACAGCCATATAGATGACTGCTGTTAGTAAGATCGTTGCTTATTTTCTCTATTCTTCACGATTACTACCTTATGTTAGTATATTAGTCGGTCATCTGAACATCCGCGGGAATCACATTCTGTTTCGAGACCTGGGACAAGGCAGTTGTGACTGTGCAGTCCCAGTGCTCCGGGAGAGCACCCCACTTGTCACCACGTGACCCCAAAGGTCGTTCTTCCTGAGTGTCCTGTAACGGAAGTGGGTAGGCGGCTTTGGGGTGGGAGAGAGGAGGCCTCTCCAGGTCCAGCTTGTGGTCTGGGAGTGGGTACACAGAGCAGCTTGTAGGGGGGCCAGGCCCAAGGGTCAGGGTGCAGACTCAGAGGTCAGTGTTGCTTGCTCACACAGTGATGACTCCGTCTTGCACTCCTGTCCCTCTCCGGCTGGTCAGCAGCGGGGGGATAATATGTGGACACAATTTTCCACCAGCGGTTTCATTTGGAGTCGAGAGCCCGGTGGCCGTGGCCGAGTGTGAACCAGACCCCCGGGACCTGCAGAGGTCGAGGAGGGGGGTGGAGCCGGGCGGGAGGTCCTGCGAAGCAGCTTTTCTAAGGACAGCTGCTGCTCTCGTTTAAAGGGGCCCAGAGCCCAGTCAGACTATTTTTGTGCCTGCTAATGTCCTTGCTTTGCAAACAGATGCTTTGGTTTCGTTTTGAATTCTTCCTCCGTCGGTTTGGGTCTGGCCGTCACACGTTGTCACTGCGGTGATCCGGGTACGTTCAGAGCCGTTGGTGACGAAAACCCACGTGGCACATTGCTGGCAGACTTATTTCCTGGCCTTCCTCTCCGTCCGTCTTTGCAGTGCCAGGCTGAAAATCAGGTTTTGAAACCAACAGAACCAGATGCCTGGCAGTCATGCGTTTTATAAAACGGTGCCAGCCGACGAGGTTGCCCGTGGGACCGCGCACAGAAGCCTGACCTGTAATCAGGGGCCCTGAGATAGTCTGTGAGCTTAGAATTTTCTAAGACACTCTGGCAACTGTCTCTGGGTTTTAAAAAGGAGTGCTGAATTAAGGCGGCAGGACGTTATTTCTAAATAAACGTGACTTTCTCCTTTTTCTAGGAACTACACGTTGAGATTTATGCCAATTCCCATGTATGATGCGTCTCAAGCCCTAAAAACAAACCCTGAGAAAACAGAAGAGGCTCTGCAAAAGGTATTGGAGGTTTGATGGCTTAATTGTAATAAATTCGCATTTGAATGGAGTTGGTAGTAATAATTCTGAACATATGAACAGTACTTTGTGTTTCGCAAAGCTTTTTTTACATTAGCTTGTGTTCTTGCGACTGTAACCGGCGTAATGCATGACTGAGGGAGGAATGACGTAAGACGAAAATTGGTCATGAAATGTAAGTGGACTGACATTCCTACCGCATCAGCAGGCTGGAGCTTATGCACAGAGAACTTGTGCGTCCTCAGAGAACATGTGGAACTGAATGTCAGCTAGTGCAACCTTTTATCCTCAGCTGCTGGAACCTTCCCTCCTTATTAAGAATGTAGGATACGAATGAGATCTCTTTTTACCATCTTTGTTTATAAACGTCTCTGATTCCACACACATTCCCGGCTCCTTTCTGGCAACCCCGGAGGATGATGGGCATCTCCGCCTTCCAAGTCCAGCCGTCCCTGGTGCCCGTGACCCCGCTGTCTCTGCCTGCGTGGGGAACTTGCCCTGCAGGTCACTCTCTCGCTGTGCCGTATCCCCATCCTTCTCTTTCTGTGGTTATGGTCACCTTTCTCGATGTTTAGATATGCTCCAGGATGTCCCATCTGTAGAAGCCTGTATTGTGGTGGTAGATGGGACTCTTTGAAATCTTTTTCCTCCCTCTTTGTCCTCATGGTGGGTGGCACCGTCCAGCCTCCCAAGCTTGACTTTTCTTTCCTGCGTCTGCCGTAAACATGCACGATCATCATATTGACAGATTCTGTAGCACCAGTCTCTTGATTAGCTCTGTTCCCCTCTCTTCCTGTTACGGATGCATGTGTTCAGGCCTCATCATTTCTCAGCAGGATCGTTACCTCCTCTTTCGGTCAAGGAAAGCCACCTTACTCACGACACATGGGAACAGACCAACGTCTCCAGCCCAGCCCTCCCCAGTGGCTTTTAGAATAAAGCCTGCTCTCCTTGAATTGGCATACAGTTCTGCCCGGGATCGGCCTCCTGTCCTCTGCCACCTTCGTTTCTTACCAGCTCTGCCTCTTCGCTTTGCTCTGCTTCAGGGAACTTGTTAAAGGTACAGACTCGTGGGTCTCAGAAACGAGGGTGGGACTCACCAGCCTACATTTTTACAAGCTCTCCCGGTGGCTGCAAATCTCAGAATCACTGCTCTGATCTCAATGATCCGCATGCTTCCCCACTGCTGTGCCTGTCTGTCGAGATTGAAGGCCGGTGTCCGCTCATCGGGAGCACTTCTCAGAGCCTCTTCCTCCTCCGTGTGGGGGGTTCCTCAGAATTTCCCGTGCTTGTCTCTGTCCCTGGCCTTGTGCCGTCATGTAAGTTACCGGCCTCCGTGGTTTTTTTTTCCCTTCCCGGTGACCATGAACTCGTTGAAGGCAGAGCTTATGTATTTTTCATCTTTTTAGATTTTTCAGCAGCTAGCGCAGTGCCTGGCATGCGTGTTGGTTGCTCCTTAGACTCTGTTGAATAAAAGAGAATAAGGTAGGGGGTGGGGGCAGGGAAAGCTGTGATGCGGCCACAGAAATCACCCAAGATTCGTGTTCAGAAGCTCTGACTCAATCAAATTCTTTTCAGTTTTGTGACTTCCTTAAGTTACTTAATGTTTCTGAACTTTGGTTTCTTCATCTGTATAAAACATACAGCTAGACAGGAACTATGTTTAGCTGACATTTAACATACAGTTCATGCTGCGTGTCTGACACTGTTATAAATGCTCTCCATAAATTAACACCGGTAAAGTATAAAATAAGTCCATGAGATGGGTTTGCTATAGCCCCATTTTGCACGTAAGAAAACCGAAAGGCAGGATGACCAAATAATTTGCCTGTGGTGCCGACGGGGACCGAGCCAGGTAGCGTATGTGAAAAAGTACTTTATAAACCACAGGGCAACTTCAAAATGGTAGCTGTCTTTATATTTTCCCAGAAGATGTCGGCAGCTTGTAACAAAAGGCCCGTCCTGGAGACACCAGGTTTCCGGCCTGAGACCCGGCAGGCCGGGAGCTTGGCACTCTTCACTTGCGCCTTCACAACAAGAAGAAAAGCTGAGCAGACAGGAGATCGGGCACTCGTTCGATCCCTTAGAGAATCGAGGCTGCAAAGTGAACGGTCGCCCCGGAAGCCGGATGGATGGGAAAACAGACGATGTCTGTGACTCCCAGCTGAGGGCAGCTCACCAGGGGCCGAAGGTAACAGAGCCAGGAACTCAGAGGAATGCTTAAACAGCAGCTGAGGGATTGCTGGAGGCCCAGTGTAGACCGGTTGAGAGGTTCACAACTCCTAGGGGCCCAGTCTTAGGCCCTGAACCTCTCACGGGCTTCACCGCTAGGAGCCTCACCAGGTTATCACAAGAGAGAAATCCCCTCCTGTTTCTGGCAGGGAGAAGGGGGCAGGTTAACCATTTTGAAATCCCCCCCGGAGGGTGCCGTTGTCTGTCACAAAGGCTTACGCTTACCTTCCCTAGTGGAAGACAGTTAGGTACGCCCAGGCCCTCTAGCCTTCCCGTTTCACATAAGGGAAGAAAAAACCATGGCCAAGAAACATTTTGGCAGGTCCCAGCCCAGGGACTTGGACCCACTAAAAGAAACCCTAAATTTAATCATAGGATTACAGAATGATTCCCCTCTCTAACACCTTACCACCACATCAGGTATAGTGACAGAGTGGATTACAACTGAGCAAAGCTGTGAGGCACTCTGTTTAAGAAGGGGTCTCTAGGGAAATCCCCAGACAACTAGGGAGATAAAAACAAGGACATGGGAGGAAATTAAAAGTCTCTTGTACATACAGCTACAGCAGACATTGAGCACAGCCCAGCTTCTAGCCAGATGAACATCAAATAGCACATTAAAAGTCTGATTGCCTCAGTGCCTATTACCACATACATCATATCCAGTTTTTGCCAAAAAGAAAATCACAAGACGTGGTAAAAGGCAAGAAGAAACACAGTATGATGAAGAGGCAGAGCAAACATCAGAACCAGTGTCAATATACACAGATTTTGGAATTATCAGATCATTGAAAATAACTGACTAGCATGTTGACAGCTGTAATGGAAAGAGTAGGCAGAGAGATAGAGACTGTAAGAAAAAAACGAAAAGGAAATAACTAGAGATCAAAAACACTGTAACAGAAATGAAAAATGCCTTCTACGAGCTCATTAGTGGACAGGACACAGCTAAGGAAAGAATCATGGAGCCTGAAGATATGTAGAAACTTGGCCAAACTGAAAAGCAGAGAGAAAAAAGGAATGGGGGGAAACACCAGAACAGAATATTCCCGAACTATGGGACAGTTACATCCGTAGAAGGGGACTGCCAGAGGAAGAAGACGACAAGGGAACAGAAGAAATCATGGAAGTAATAATGGCCGAGAATTTTCCAACATCAGTGATCGGCACCAAACCACAGATCAAGGAATCTCAGAGAACACCAAGGAGGATAAATACCCAAAAAATCTACTTATGGGCATGTCACGTTTAAACTGCAAAAAAAACAGAGACAAAGAGACAATCTTGAAAGAAGCCAGATAGAGTAGAAAAACACCTTACGTATTGAGGAATAAGGATAAACGTTGTATCAGACTTGGGTCAGACATCATGTAAACAAGAAGAAAGTGGACTTTGGGGCGCCTCGGTGGCTCAGACGGATGAGCATCCGGCTGTGGTTTGGGTAATGATCTCACAGTTCATGAATTCGAGCCTCACATCGGGCTCGCTGCTGTCAGCGCAGAGCCCCCTTCAGATCCTCTGTCTCCCCCTCCTGACCCTCCCCCACTTGTGCGTGCATGTTCTCTCTCTCTCTCTCTCTCTCTCTCTCAAAAATAAACACTAAAAAAATAATGTGTGTTTTCTTAAAAGACAAATCGGTATTTATCATTTTTTTCCCCTATAATGCTTTCTATACTCTTATATATTCAAGTTTTCATTTTAACAGAAGTCTGTCCCCTAGAAGAAATATGCTCTTTAATTTTACTCTGGTAAAGAACAATATTGTGATCCTGGAACTCAATCTTTCGAAGTTGGGTTTGGGTTTTTTGTTTTTTGTTTTTTGTTTTACTGTAAGATTGCTACATCGAATACAGGTCTTTTTGCCTTTTGTGTCGCTGCTATTTTCAGCTGTTTTCAGCAGTGAGATGAGGCATCAGTAGGCTGTAGACGGTCTTCCGGGTCACTGCTGCCCAGGGGGACTGGCAAACACGATAATGACACTTTGGACCCTCCCCCTCCCCCGCCCCCCCACTTGACCTCAGTCAGGCCCTCTGTCCTCAGCCTCTGGGAGGCGGGTTCTCTGTCCTCGGTCTAGAACGTCGCAGGGAAGGAAGGTTTGCCCTGCTAATCCAAGATGGCGAATACTCTCAGTGGCGATGTGTGTGTGGTTGATATTAAAGTGACTGAAACAGTGTTACTCTTCCTTCTCCTTGTACTGGCTTTTGGAAATGAGCTTTGAATATTATTTTTTTCTAAAACAAAATTCCCTTCGAGCTTAGTCTGTGCAGCACCATTGGTGGCCCTAGGGAAGGCCCTGGAGACACATGGGACAGCCTTGGGTGCACGGCTTGTGCGTGAGCTGAGCCTCCTAAATAAACAAGCTGTTCCCACAACCGGCCCCCGGCCAGCGCTTCACGAGGCCACATAAAAAGAACAAATAACAAAGCAAAAGCGTCCAAAGCTGGGTGGCAACGTGTGTGCCTGTCATACTTCAGCCAAGAATCTTGTTTTTTAGCAGAAACATTTGCCATCGATGATCATGTCACCTTGGAAAGAGATGACTCTTTGGGAAGCAGCAGGAGAAAATTAATGTAATAAAATGTCATGGTCTTAATGTGTCACTTTAATGATGTTTCATTTCAGGGATCTTTTCGTTTTTATAATTCCTTCATTTATGTTTAGTAGAAAGGTACATTTTGTTCTGCTTTATGGTTTCCAGGGGTGATGGTAATTATAGTCTGTATTTTAATTGTCCCTAATTGGTATTAAGTAGTAGTCATTTAAGCATACGGAAAATTAAAATGAAAGTGTAATAATACTGAGAGCCTCACAGTTGTTACAAGTTCTTAACCAGGGAACTACAGTGACAAATTAAAAGCCACATGGCTAAGTGTTGTTATTAAAAACACACGAAAACAACAACTGCGAAAAAAAACCAGATGGTGCGATTACCCATCTCCCATCATTCTTTACAGACATCTTCAGAGGTGTCCCTCAGTCCCTGTAGTTCTTGTTCAACTTTGCGTGCTGTTCTTAAACACTTCATTTCAGTCTAGTCATCGTCTGTATGTTTGAATTTTTAACAGGCGATTGTGTATAAAAACACAGCTGGCCAAGCGGCTTCAAGGGTTCTTCTCTTCTGTGGAAATTCGTTTTCTTATTTTCTCAACTTGTGCTAAAGTCAGTCCCTTTTCTGAGATCATATGAAAACCCCATGGACTGCTGGAACCGGTGTATGTCTTTGAGTTGTGCCAGCATGTATCCTTCAAACTTGTGCCTATTTTCTCCTTTTCTTCCTGGAAAATAGTTTTCTCAGTGCTGGCGGGTTCTGCCACATAAAGGCTGACAGGTTCGGTGGGTACCATCCACACACCGTGGTGTTATTTCTGTAGCTTTGGAACTGTTGAGTGGTTAAAGACTCGTGAGGGAGAGACCGTGATTGTGTGCGAGAAAGCCCGGAGTCACCGGATGGGGCCTCCAACCGTGTGAGCGCCGAAACCCTTGCCGGTCTCTGTCGGCTACCGAGTCACGTGAAAACACTCCCATTCGCTGCAAGTTACATTTCGAACTCAGACACCGAGAATGCACAGCCAGTTTCCCGTGTCCTGTGTTGTGTCTGGGGTCAAGGCACAGGCGGCATTGGGAATCCGTGCTTTGGTTTCCAGTTCAGCACCTGGGCTGTTTCGCTTGTAACTTCTCTGCCTGCTGAGTCCACACGTGTTCTTGAGAGGTGCGTGTGCTTGATTTTCAGATAGAAAACTATCTGCTCCGGAATCACGAGACCAGGAAATACCTTCAAGAGCAGGCCTACCGCCTGCAGCAGGGCATTGTCACCAGCACCACGCAGCAGGTAAGAGGACACCGGTTTCTCCTACTCGCCCGTGACAGACATTCAGCGGGGGGCACCGGATTTCTGTCGCTGGAGTCATCCCCAGTGGGACAGTGAGAACTGGTTTCCGAAAATGACAAGAAACTGAAGTGGAGTGTAGGGGAAGATACAGAGGGAGGAAAATGTAGGCTGATTCCAATGCTAGAAATGCACTTTTAATCGCTGATGATTTTGTGCCTTTTGTCAGTAAGGTGTATTTTGGATTTCCTCTTGGGATTCTGTCTCTCCCTCTCTCTCTGCCCCTTCCCCACTCGCCTGCTCTGTCTGTCTGTCTGTCTCTCTCTCTCTCTCAAAATAAATACATAAAAAAAAAAAAAAAAAACAAACAAACAGGTGCCAGAGAGACTCAAAAGGCTGTCTTACAAGGGAACTAGAACTATTTCTTAGTGTCCATCCCAATTACTAGAAGCAAATGAGGTGATGTCATCAAAGTTCAGAGGGGGATGTATTTTGGACCATGAACTCTACACCCAGCCATTCTGTCGAACAGCTTTGAGGACAGAATTAAAATGTATTTGGACATGGACTCAGAAATTTTACCCCCAGTATTCCCTATGCAAAAAAAAAAAAAGTTCGTTGAGGAAATTCTCCAGCATAACAATAAAAATAAGAGTGCACAAGATGAGGTATAAGGAAGAAACTGCAGCAGAAATGAAATCCCTGAAAGTCACAAAAGCTGAGGAAAAGCTTTGAAAAATTGCCACTTTGGACAATCCACTTGGAGCTGCAGGGTTAAAAGACAGGATTACATTTCTTTCTCTTTGTATTCCATGATTCCATAATTCTGTAAGTGCATTTTAGCAGGTTCAAAATTTTAACATCAACCCAGACAAGAAGGGAAAGCCTAAGTATTGTTACATTAAGAAATGTGAATGCTGGGGGCGCCTGGGTGGCTCGGTTGGTTGTGCGTCCGACGTCAGCTCTAGTCATGATCTTGTGGTTTCTGGGTTCGAGCCCAGCGTCGGGGCTTGCGCTCTGTGTCTCTCTCTCTCAAAAATAAATAGACATTAAATTTTTTTTTTTAAAAGAAATGTGAATGTTGTAAATCTTAATGTAAGAGTACTGATACTAACTAAAATTGGGAATTGGAGAGAGAGAAAGTTGGGTTGGAATGTAGGTAGGCTGAAATTTTAGTTTTTATTTCATGGAATCAGCCTCTTTTCTATCATTCTTTTTGTTGTTTTAGTTGTTTTTGATGTTTGTTTTTGGGAGAGAGGGAGACAGAGCATGAGTTGGGGAGGGGCAGAGAGAGGGGGAGACACAGAATCCGAAGCAAGCTCCAGGCTCTGAGCTGTCAGCACAGAGCCCGACGTGGGTCTCAAACCCACAGACTGTGAGATCATGACCTGAACTGAAGTCAGACGCTTACCCTACCGAGCCACCCAGCTGCCCCATCTGTCCTTCTTAAATCAAAAATACAAATAGAGTTAACTCTATTGGAGTTTAAATAAAATAATTAGGAAAATACCAGTGTAAGTCTACTATTTAAATTAAAAATGGAAGCTACCAGAAGAGTTTAAGAAGCAGCAGGTTTCCAAAAGTGTCTGGGCGGGTGAGAGGGGCTGACTGACAGGCAAAGTTGGTTGTTTGAGACCATTTTTTAATGGTTTGCACTATTTTCTTACCTTGTGCAAATGTCATTTAAAAAAATTTTTTTAAGTTTATTTATTTTGAGAGAGACAGAGACAGTGCAAGTGGGGGGAGGGGCAGAGAGAGAGACAGAGGCACAGAATCCCAAGCAGGCTCCGTGACATCAATGCAGAGCCCGGCACGGGGCTTGAACTCATGAAACTGTGAGATCATGACCTGAGCCAAAACCAAGAGTTGGATGGTTAACCAACAGAGTCACCCAGGCGCCCGTCTTTTTTTTTTTTTTTTAATGTTTATTTATTTTTAGAGATAGCAGCTGCCATTTTAATTTTTTGCTGTTGCTTTCTCTTAAAAGAGAATGAAAGCAAAGTGTCCATAATAAAAGCATCGTGTATAATATTCCAAGTAGGTGGAATTGTAGGGAAGGTTGCTTAGGTCTGCTTAGAGGTCTATGAAAGCGTGTTCACCAGAATGTTCATGTGGTCTCCGGGAGTGTGATTAGGTGAGTTTTATTCTCTTACATCACAGTGTTCTTTGAAACCTTTACAGTAAACCTACGTTCTTGGTATAAGAAAAAGTAAAGCGATGCGTGTTGAAAAAAAAGAAAAATAGTAATTATGAATATTGATGGAGTTTTGAGAAAGGAAACAATAATTTGCCTTTACCCATGCCTTAAAAATCTAATTTTTTTTTCCTGCAAGGGACTAATATTAGCTTAGTACTTTATGGTTTACCGTTCCTTCCTGGTTTTAGTGGTGAATATTAAAAGCGACGAGAGCACTAAAATCTTATGTTGAACCTTTGCCTTGGGTTCCTTTATGAGCTGTCTTAACGCAGGCTTTCCTTACTACAATATCCTTCCGACCTCCCCGTCATTCACAGGGGATTTTGCCCTTCCAAATAAATGACTGCAGCAGCCTTTAATGCTGATTCTGAAAAGTAAGTTTCGTCTTCTCAACCTAGAGGAAATTGTACACGGGAGGCGTCATGCCACAGATGTTTGATTCTGTGTGCGTGGCATCGGTCTGAATTATTTGAGTCATTATGTTGTAGGTATATTGCCACCTTTTCTTTCTGGGGATTTCTTAGGACATTATGATTAGCACATTTTGAGACATGATCATCGTTTCGGTCACTTGAGGAGAGACTTACCTCCTTCCTGTTGAAACGTCTTCTCCAAGTTTCCAGAGGTCTGAATACAGAAAGAATAGACCCTCTGTGACGAATGTCCCTGCCGGCCGCGTGGCCAGTCATCATTCCCGGGTGACACGGAAGGGATTAAAATGTTGTCAGGAAACCATGGCATCTCGTAACTGCTCCGGTCTTTCTTTGTTTAGGAAAGACCCCTACGACACCTCACCCCACCTCCGCTTGCAATCTCTTCTTTTCCTCCTCATAAACTCTCTCTTAATCAGGACTCAGCAGACCTTTTCTGTAAAAAAAAGAAATCAAATAGTTAATATTTTCGGCCTTGCAGCCTGGAAGGTCTCCCTGCATCTACTCAACTCTGCTGTGGGGGAGCAGGACGACCGTGAATGCGGTGGCTCTTCCAATAAAACTTTATTTATAAAAACAGGCCCAGAATTACCGGTAGATTGCCAAAACTCAGCTCTTCTCTTAAAGTTTTCTGACCGTTGGAAAAAAGGGGGGAGGGCAGTTCTATCGCCTACAGCCATTTACTCAAAACAGTCTCTTCCGGCCTCTTATGTATGGTTTTTATACTTCCTTTCTGGACTCCTTTCCTGCTATGTCCCTTTGTAACCTTTCCACATGTGTCCCCATCTGTGTACTGAAATGACCCTCTCAGGGGTCTCGGTCACCGAGTGCCCGAGCTTTTTCTCCCTCTTCATCCGTTGATGAGAGGAGGCAGGATAGTGTAGACCACCCAGATTTAAGGACAGCGTCTGCTTTCCCTGTGGGTGTGAACTGATGTTAGGTACTTAACCCTGTTTAAGCCTTGCTTTCTTCATCTGTGAAATGGGGAGACCATTCTGAAGGTGGTGAGAGAATTCACTGAGATAAAGCTTGCGAAGTACTTGGCTCCCCAGCAGTGAACCGTTCACGTATTTTGCTGCCGTTATTCTTATTGTCACAATGATCGTCGTCGCTGTTGGCTGCCTCACCTTTCCTAAGACTCGCCGCCCGGCTCATGGACAGTGTGCTGTTTTGCGTATCTTTCTGCCTCTCTTGGTTCTTCTCTGTCTCCTTTCTACAAGACTCTTTACCCTTTCATCTTCCAAATGCAGTCCTTTTTCTACGTTTTGTACTTAGTGCTCATTTCCTTTAGCTCTTTCATCCGCTCTTACCGTTTTAATGCTCTCATCTGTGGAGGACTCCTGGGTCTCTCCCTGTTTCTTTCCAGAAAGTCGTATCTTTTCATCCACTTGAGTGGCATCTCTGAGATACAGGGTCACTGAGATGAGACTTGTCCCTTGGAACTCTTGATTTTATCATTTACCTTAGCGGCATCACCATTCACTGAGGATACCACCCTTGGGGTCATCTTGGCTGTCTCCTTTGACGAACCGACCCAGTGGTCGCTGTGCCCACGTGTCTGCCCAGCTGTTCTTTCCTTTCCAATTCCATTGGCAGCTCTTGGGTATTTTATCGGCTCACGCCTGCCTCTTCTTTTGCAAGAACTGTGAGAACTGGTGCGTCCGCCCTCTGCGGTCTACAGCCCACGTCCTGTGCCTCAGGCAGGGAAGCTGAGTCCCGAAGAGTGTTACGGGTGAGGATTTTTACACGTTCACGGTTGTGGGAGGAGGAGGGGACAGATGCCCCCTGCCTTGTACGCTGTGTTCGGTCTCCTTAGCCTGTGCCTGAGTCTCGCACTATCTTGCCTATCAACTTGCTAGTCTCATCTCCCCCAGTAAAGTGCCTCTGTTCCTAAGCAGGAAACAGGTATCTGGATGTGCCGTTGCTTGTTTTGTCTTTTGCTTAAAATTCCTTTCTGCTTTCTCGATCTGTGCACATCTTTCAGGACCCAGTTGAAAAGCCACCTTCAACCTCAACTAGATGCGATCCCTCCCTTGGCTCAAATCTTGCACAACTTCGTATCCTTCCTCCGTTCACTGAATACGTATTTACGGTCTGTCACGTGGCAGGCACTACTGTAGGAAGTGAAACTTCTGGGCGTGAACAGAATGTGGGTGCCCTTGTACGTAGCCCTTTATGTCTTGTGTTCCTGTTACTTGTGAATATTTTTCCACTTCCAGACTTTTTTTTTT